TCATCGACCTAGCTGTATCCCGAAAGTGCCAAGCCGCGGGAGCCGGGGGGGGGGGAAGGGGCTTACGTTGCTTGCTGCCTTCGGGATACCGCTAGGTTGGGGGGGGGCGTGTGTGCCTGGCTGGAGGGGGGAGTTGCCGGGCGGTTGCTCCCTTCCACATCCTCAGGGGCGAAGCAGCCATGAGGTGGTCACACTCACGAGCAACCGCCTGGCAAACCCCCTCTCCAGCCGGGCAGAGCGCCATTCACTGACTTAGGGGGTATCCCTAAGGCATCAAGCCAACCTGGCGCTCTGCCCGCCCCCCAGCTCCTGGGGATTGGCACATTAGGGATATCCCCTAGGTCAGTGCATGGAGCTCTGCCCGCCTGAAGAAGGGGGTTGCGCAAGCGCCTGTTCCGCCCCCAGCAAGCATGCCTCCCAGGCTCACCATGCCCTGGCCCAGCTCTCCATGCAGAGCCAGGGCATCACCACCACCACGCTCCAAGCCTAACTTCTTCTCCAGCTTCCAAACTCCAAAACTCGCCTCCAGCAGCGGCCGTTCTAGGAGTGCGCTGTATGGTTGTGGGCCAGCTGCTGGAAGATTCTCTATCCGGAAGCCTCTTTGTCTGGAAGACTCTCTGTCCAGCAGCCGGCCCACAACAATACAGCACACTCCTAGAGCGGCCGCTGCTGGAAGACTTGGCAGCCGAGCTTTGGAGTTTGGAAGCTGGAGAAGAAGTTATGCTTGGAGCGCCGTGGTAGTGGCGGTGGCGCCCTGGTTCTGCAGGGAGAGCTGGGCCAGGGCATGGTGAGGCTGGGAGGCATGCTTGCTGGGGGCGGAACAGGCACTCGCGCAACCCCCTTCTCCAGCCAGGCAGAGTTCCATGCACTGACCTAGGTGATATCCCTAATGTGTCAAGCCGCGGGAGCTGGGGAGCGGGCAGAGCACCACGTGGCTTGGCGCTTTAGGGATACCCCTAGGTCAGTGAATGGCGCTCTGCCCAGCTGGAGAGGGGGTTTGCCGGGCGGTTGCTCGTGAGCGTGGTCACCTCATGGCTGCTTCGTCCTGAGGCTGGGTCCGGCTCTTCGGGAGCCCTCTCGCAAGGGAGCAGCTGCCCGGCAACCCCAAAACAATAAGCTCTCCCACTATAATGAGCCCAAGGCCATATTTCGTGGAGCAAAAGAAAATAAGACCATGTCTTATTTTCGGGGAAACACGGTATATTACCCCAAAATATGGCTGACATCTATTTTTATCTGACTAGATTTTTAAAGGATCTTCATTATGAACACACATAACACACAGAGAGACGAAATTTAATCAACAGCCAAGTAAATTATGAGGGAAGTAAATAGTGCAAAAGCAATTATTTAAGCAATTGTTTAAAGGAAACAACAGCTTCATGATTACATTTTTAAAATACCAAAACCCATGAATTTATTTAATTTATTTATATTCTTCCTTTTTCTTTGAGTGCTCAATGTGGCTTACTTGGAGACCTCTACTAATTTCATCCTCCCTATACCAAACCCAGGAAGTAGGTTCGGCAGAGAGAAAATGATCAGCTTTTGTGCAAAACACAGCTGTCCTGAAAGGGAAATATATGAAAATCCCATATGAAACCCAATATTGCCTTATGATATGGGTGCCACAGAAACAACAGCCCATGTTTTTCTGTATGGACAGTTCTGTTGGGATATTTGCCACGAGTTGTTTACACCTTTTTTATTTGAATTTCTGGGGTACCCTGATAGCCTTTATCTGCACATCTGATAAATAAGAAACATACATTTATTTCTCTAAAATAAAATTTTGCTACATTATGTGTAAAATTCACCCACAAATAGTTCTTATTGTTAAGGGACAGCTTTGTGTTGTTCATTTTATTTTTATCAGTCATTGACTGAAATTAATTTCTGTCTGTCTGAGTTCAATGGGTAATAACAAGGGTCTTGAGCATGGACTTTACCAGTCTTTATCCACCATCCCAGCTCCTAAGCACATTGCTCAAAATCACCATAGAAAGAACATTCATCCATCATATTCATTTTAAGGTGGCATTTTTTAAAAAATTACATAGTAAATTAAACATTTTTTAAACAACAACGGCAACCATCTACTGAACTTGTAAGCCGCCCAATTCTCAACAACTCTGGGCAGCTCACAACAATCAATCAAAGAAACTGCAACAGAATGCTAAATGAGGAGCCTTGCCTGAGTGGGGGTAGGCGGAGACTTTGGTTCAGGCGAAGATTCACTGATTTCTCCCAGCGAAGATACACGAGGAGGACAGGTGGGTTCAGGGTCAAGTTCAAACACCAATTTACCTACAGGGGAATCACTTGGGGGAAAAAAGTTCACCGTAAGCCTGTTGACCTTATGAGCAGAATTCTATACAATAATTTAATTTTCTTTTTTAAAAAACCCTCCAGTGATAAGCATCTAGTTCTTTTTACGCTGTAAATGTTGCATAGGAACTTTAACATGTGAGATGTGCCCATTTTAGCCATTTACTTACCTAGTTGGTGAGCCTAATCCAGAAATTTGAGCATCAGCTACTGATACCGTAGCAGGCACAGATGCTTGAGGGCTGAAGGTCCCAGTATGATTTACTGTTGGAATAGCTCTTCTCACCAACCTTCCCCAAGTGGCAATATTAATATTCATTTGCGGAGCTCTGAGAAATGTTTTGCCTGTGGAAAAGAAAACAAAGCCTAAGTAATTTCTTTATTTATCACCAAAAGCTATAATTAAATGAGAATTCATATATTCATTAGTTTATTACTTGTGATGGATAAGCTGTGGAGGTTGTATTTCCTAATTTTTTTCTTATTAAAGCCTTGTTGACAAATTATGAAGAATTATCTTTAATGAAATGTTGACATAACAGCATCCATTTTTTATTAATTCTAGGACCAAGTGCTAAAGCTATAAAACCAACCACCTCACCTTGTTGCTTGGAGAAAATTTTCTTTTGTCTCTGAAGTTTTGGTCGTCTTTCAATAACAGGATTAAAAAATGTAACCTGCAATTCAGGCAATAGGTATTAGAATGCAGACTAATAATACTTTTTGGAAGCAGGACTTCACAAGATTTAAAATGTTTACTAAAAGTATTTGTCCTTACCTCTGCAAACAAAGTGCCCTGAGGTTCAAGATAGAGACACATTCCATGTCGCTGATTATCCAAGAAGTCTTCTAACCTCAGAAATTTCACGGCACACAAAGATCTCCAATCACGCCAATAAACAGAAATCTCTAACTCACGTGACTGAAGAACAATAAGAAACAAACCCAGGCTTAAGTTTTTATATTTACTAGATTTCAGCGGACCTAGCTGGAAATATTCTTACACCAGAATCACCCTACTTTGGGAATAGATGACTTTAGCAATGGAAGAAACCACCTTTCTTTTCTGCCCACAGAATTAATTCATTTATTTTACCTGCTGCTTCCAAACTAGTGCAGAACTGCATAAACTGTCTCAGATGTTATAGCCATAAAATGAATGGCCAACAATAGGATAAAAAATAATTCCACGATGCTGTTACAAATTTAAAGGAGAATCAACAGAGACTAGAGAGGAATTTTCTTTTGCTTCCATGTATTGAATCAATCATAATTAAGATTTAAAGATATTATTTCTGCAATTCTCAAAACGTTTAAGGCTCTTTAAAAAACAGTAAAACAAAAAGTGTAATCCTGTGAAAGCTGGGTGGCACTTGGAAGGCTAGGATAGAGTAATTTATGATCCACAGCCCTAATGCTGGATAAAGGTAAACTACTCTATATTAATTCCAAAAGGAACAGTTTATCTTACAGTGAAGACTAATAACATGCGTGTAGGCACACAAAACAAGATGCAAGGATCATCGGGTATCTTCATTTCAGTTTGCTGCTTTTCCAAGTCTTCCACCTCCCCAACTCTTCCCATCACATCATAATGTATCCCATTATGTAATGTGGAGAGCCATTTCCCATGACCTCAATGGGCCTCTTCATATACAGATTAGATCATATTATTTGTCAATCTGATGAAGGCAGCTTTGAATGTTCAACACATCTGTTACGCAAAGATCTCTTCCATAAGAGAAAATAAAAACTTAAGGGGGATTTTAACACACAGTTCAATGTTATTTATATATATATATATATAAAAAAAAAACACCTTCTTGTCCTGAACTCATATGAGCAAGGCTAAAAACCGCACGGAGAAGAACTTTTGTAAACATGCCAAATATCAGTTGCCTTTCACTGTCTTTACACTGACTGGCTGGCAGGCTTTGAAAACAGCAAATTGGCAGGGCAAGAGGTTGTTTATTTTAGGAATGCTTGATTGACTAGATATGAAAAAATTATTTTCAGAGCCAAAAAACTTGATCTTTTTGACTCAGTTTCAGGAAATCTATTTCCTGACTTCATCAAATAAAATAAGGTTGTTTTTTTTAAAAAAAAAATCTCTATATACAAAAAGCATACTCAGTATTTAAAAAACCCTAGTACGAACAGGTTACTCAAATTTCTTCTGATATGCTGCCCAACTTATGTTCTACATTTTTAAATATTTTTACTTCAGTCCAAGAACAAATTGTTGCAATAGCTACAATTGATTTACAACAGTACATATAATTAATTAAAATGTCTCTCAAACCCTCCATACGTTTTACTACATGACTTTACCTAGAATCACGAGAAGCTAAGCACTTATAAATGATTTGTTGCAAATGCTATGAGCACAATGATGGAGAATCCTAAAGATGTATGACTGGAATGTATTTCTGCTCATGTAAGCACCATCTCATATTTTCATCCTTGTTGGGAAAGCTGGAATGCTCTATTCTGTTCAGGAAAGGGAAGCTACATTCCAAGTCAGAATATCTCCCTAGGCATAAGAAGCAAATTACTCAACTGGAAATCACAGTAAACATATTAAAGAGGTACTTACTCTGTCTAGTTCCAGTGTAAATTTCTGGTCCCAGGACTGATTGGAAATAGGCTTCCAGCTAGTTTGATCAACAACAGTGTTATCCAATTTCAAAACAGCACAGATTTCATCTGCAAGCAAATTAGGTAAATTCAGTTTAGTATGTTAAGATGATGTTCCAAAAAACAATAATAGAAACAGCCCTGACAATGAGTAATGATTTGAAATCAGTTAAAATCTGCACAAAAATATAAGTAAAGCACAACATTCCACTTAATCTGAACAAAACAATCTTTGTTTAGGTTAACCTACAACACTAATGGTGGATGAACATTCTCAGTGGGAATGTTCCAAGTCATTATATGAAAGCTCAAATGCTTTCCAAACTATGGCACTGCATTTCCTCCCTTCTCTCACTAGAAGAAACTACAGCTCATTTCTTTTTTCCTCTCAGCTTTTCTTAGAAAGATAAAATGTTGGTTCCTTTTTCTCCATATACAGACAGTCCTCCACTTACAACCAACCATTCGTTCAGCAACCATCTGAAGTTATGCCAGTGCTGAAAAAAATGGTCTTATGATCCATGCTAGAAATTGCAACCGTTGCAATGCTCCCAATGGTACACGAAATCTGGGTGCTTTGCAGTCCACCAGAACTCATGACTGCAGGGGTGCTCCAAATCCTCCCACCTGCCTACCTTCCCCATCTCTCCCCTTTGGCCACTCTGCACTTTGTCTTGTGGGTTAGCAAGCAACCCCAGAACCAGGGACATTCTAACCTCCGTCTGTCTCTTTTCCCTACTCATAAAGATCAGTTACGGATCAGGATTAGAAAGAGATTGGGAAGGGAAGGAAATGGAGGATGGCTAGAGATTAGCCTGCCCCTTGGAAGCAAATTGGAGGCCAGAATGGATTTTGGAAGGGCAAGAGTTAATCTTCAACATGCTTCTCTAGCCTATTGTTGCACTTGTTTTCTGACTTCCAGATACAACCCCACAGAAGATGAAGAGGCAGGCTGGAGTCAGGTGCAAAGCATGGGGCAGTGAAAGTCCTTGATGTGAGGAGTAAGATGTAGATGTAGATGTAGACAAGTTTATTTATAGGCCGCCCTTTTCCCTGAGGGGACTCAGGGCGGCTTACAACTTATGGGGAAGGGAATACACACAATGACATATAGAAACAATACATAATTAAAAATGGAAGCAACATTCATCATTCGGGCGGGGACGGATTATAATCTTTAACCCCAGGCCTGACGGGAGAGCCAGATCTTGAGGGCTGTGCGGAAGGTCTGGAGGGTGGTGAGGGTACGAATCT